TATTTCATCACTGACAGATGACAGCGGACGAATTACACCGAATAGTATGTGAAGCCGTTTTTGCATAAAGGTTTCTACAGGAGAAACAAAGGTTTGTAGCGTTCGTGTTTGAGATTGCTCAATAGTTCATTAGGAGAAGTTCAATAACTTCTTCTATCGTCCACTTTCATTTTGACTTCTGGAGAGCCCACTTAGAGTGTCGATGAATTGCTCAAATTGTCCGTTGGATTGAGGATGATGCGGTAGCGAACGCAGGGGATTAATGCCTGACTGCTTGCAGAACCGGCCAAAGGTCCTTTATTATTGCTCACCAAAGTTTCGGGCGAACAAATCTGCTGGACAGTCGTCGGATAGCGTTTATTGCGGCTTCGGCTGTAGTGCGTTTCGTATGAATAACTACCGGCCCTTTCTTTGTGCGTCAACGGCTAAGTGATTTCTGGTACTTGAGCGGTCCAGCCTACTCGACATGGACCCTGGGCCATGGAATATGTGGAACAGACCTCGCTTTGAGTGTTAGCGCATTTGATGCGAGAGCGCAGTTGTTGCATGGTCAGACCAGCTGTTCCATATGAACTCAGTTGACATATCTGCGAGCGAGAGCCTCCATGCGGTTGATCTCCAGATGCCCAGTGTGAAACTGCTTTAGAACTTTGGCTGATAGTTTTTGTGGAACAACGACACGTTCATAGAACAGGAGACAGGCGTTAACGGTGGACAGAGAATTTCGTCGTTGGTGAGACTGTTGGGATTCTCGAGAAATGTTTGCGGACCACTGAGTGTAAGGGGTTATCTCAACAGTGGATCCTGTTGGGTTGCCTTTCGAACTTTCTCAAACCTCACAGGGAGTTCAGCTTTTTAATCTACAGAGAAATTAATTTCTGATCGCGGTATATATCAGTGTATTTGAGGTCTATAAGCGTTGACCGAAATTGTAAGTGTATATTTGTGTTGAAACCCGTCAACCCCTTATAGACCGAAATTGTACGTGTATATTTGTGTTGAAACCCGTCAACCCCTGTGCACAGAAATTGTAAGTGTATATTCCTGTTGAAACCTGTCAACACCTGTGAAATTCGAAATTGTAAGTGTATATTTGTGTTGAAACCCGTCAACCCCTATGAAAAATACACATGCTGCCATCAGACAGTCATTAGTAGTAAAAATTAACATTGTAACTTACTATACTAACAGCTTAGGTACTTGCTAGAAGGCCCAGACACGTGTTTCGCCGGTATT